GAAAAGCACTTTAAAATGAAAGAAAGCTGTGTTCGCAAGTGGCGATCAAAAAGAGAAAAGTTTTTTTCCGTCTTTTCTTTTCCTCAAAAAAGTTCCTAAAACTCGGGGTGCGGCTTATCTACGAGAGCGGCTTATACATGGGTAAATACGGTATTTGATTCCAAGTAGCCCTTTAACAAAACACTCAGAAGAATACAGTGGAATCCCAGTAATTTGTCCACTAAACGGACCTTCAAAACCGTCTGTATTATATAAAGGGTGATCACATTAAGCGGGCTATCCAAACATGAACACAAACAAGTGTTCTACAGAAAACATATCTTATTGGTTTAATTTGATCATTGTCGAAAGGGGTAAATCAAAATCCACTTAGTTATATTCAGAACAGAAGGCACAGAGCTGTATTTTCTATGTGTTCTGTTTGAATAAAATTGATTGGAAACTCAAAGTTATTGCATTTTTAGACAAAAGAAAGTTAAAAGATGCTGAAATATAAATTCAACAGTTTGTATGAAGATCAAAACTAGAATCATTTTGTCGCAGACATAGCACAGGTTAAAAAAGTGTATGGGTATTTCGTTGGGACACAAAAGAGCTAAGCGCAATAATGGGCAGGCAAAATTAATGATCACTGCACATCAGCAGTAGTTTCTCTTTACAATATGTAGAAAAAAGCCATTCATTCAGATTTGTTACGCCAAACTGCCAGAATTCCTATACCAAGGAATATTTCTAAAAATGATACAGTAGTCAAACTTTTTCAGGATTCCACTATTCAAATTATAAAATGTTTCCATAAAAAAGCCYAATTTTGTTGGAATGGTGGGAACTAGCAGTAACTGTGTGAGCTGCATCGATGTTTCTAAAGAAACAGTTGTGTAAAAAGATAAATTAAACACAGTAAAAAGTAGGTGAAGTAACTTACTGACATTTCCTTTGTCGGAGTAAAAAGTGATGAAACTAGGTAAAGGGTGAGTTTATATATATAATAGTAAGATCACTATGGTAAGATTAAAGGAGCAAAGTAGGCATGGTAACGTGAAATAAACAAAAAGCAAAGGAAGTGTAAGACAAAAGAACAATAAAGGTGCTAAAAAGGGAACAAAAGACAAACAACTTATCTGAAAACAAAGCGTTCATTCAACCCATGGGAATTGTAAGTGCCCAATAGGTGAATAACCCGCATTTCTTTGGTTTTGTGACAATCATTATTGCCTCTAATCAAAGACAAACCAAAAACAATAAAGTTAGAAAGAGAATGATTAGGTAGGTTAAAGTGGYGGGAAACAGGCTTATCAAGATCCCAGATATGATCGCCCAGGTGATGGYCAGTATCGTCGACATAATAATAAAATTACAAAGCAAACATTTAATACAATACACAATATGGTTGGTATATTCAAAATGATCAGTGATTCTGAGTGAAGAGTTAGGACCAACAATGGAAGTGTGCGAGACAATATACGGACAAGTGTTACAGTGCTTACGTGCTTACGTGAGCAAAGGAAAGTGCCAGGATCGTTATTAGAATGATAAACACCTTTGACTAGGAAAGAACGAAGGTTACAATCACGTTTATTAGAGAAGAGGGGTCGGTTGTTAAAGTGAGTAAAAAGTAATTACGATTAATAATAGGTTTAACAGAACTTTTACTTTTTCATCACTTTTACTCTGACGAAGGATTAACGTCCAAAACGTTACTTCACCTACTTTTTACAGTTTTAATTTATCTATTTACACAATTTTGTTGGACACCATTGTTGTAAGATTGAGCAAAATGTTTGATCAAGAAATTAGATCTTAGGGGCTGGTCATAATAATTATGAGGGGCAAACAATTATGTTGGGGGAGGGTAGGCCACTTTCTGTTTGGTGAAATGCACACTGTAGATGGCAAGGTTCAAATTTGCA